GGAGGATAGTGATAGTGCTGTAATCAGTCTCAGGTCATCAGACGCCCCATAGCAAGAGCATTCCTGATGAAGATCTCCTCCTCTTCATCTGTGTGACCCTGTCAATACTCCTGCCACATCAAAGACAGAGACGAGTCTTTGAGCCGCCGGTGCCTGGAAACAACTAAAAACCTGCACACACACATATACACTGGCGAAGAAATGACTACAAAGAAATGCCATATGTCACCTCAAAATCGAAAAAGGCAAAGGAGAAATATATTTTGCACAGAGAAAATTAAACATTGTTTTATTTTCATGTCAATAAGTACAAATTCCTATAATTCTAAGGTGAAAATAATAGAACAATTATTATTATTAATTATAATTAAGAATAAGAATAAGAATAATATAGAAATAAGAATAATATAAATTAAATTCTATGGTGTGGTGTGGTTATTGTTAACCACAACAAAAACTTTTTTTCGGTAATTAAAAAAAATATATAAAAAATATTACATGGGGAAAAAAATAAAAAACGTAAAATTAGAAACTAAACCTTTATAAAAAATAATGTTTTGTTCATTGAAAAAAAAATCTAAAATAAAATACAAATTAAATAGATAAATAGCATAAAAAAATGAGAAATTTTAAAATCAGAACTGAAATAAAACAATTTTACTAAAAACAAATAAAACAAAATTACTAAAAATTAAAAAATTAAGCAAAATAGAAATAGAAAAAACTAATAAAAGTGGCAAAAGCATATAAATTCACTAAAACTAAAATTAAAATAAAACTGACAAAATGAAAATACAAGCTACCTCAGAGTATTAATAAATACTAAAATAGTATTAAAAATAATCTTAAAACTAAAATCTATAGTTGTTAAATAATTATATTATGGGGTCCAAACACCTGAGATCACATTGAAAATAAATTATTCAAAATCCAGTTTAGATCTGAAAATATATAGACATCTTTAAGATTTAAAAAAACAAAACATTAGAAACATTATGATGTTTCTTCTCTTAATCACATAATTATTGACACTGATCACATGACTCTTTGTACAGACACTTACATCGTCTTGCTTCAATTAAAGCACAAAATTCTTGGATCATCTCAAATCATGGAGAACATGATTATCAGGATTTGTTTGTGTCATGTCATTTTTTATTTCTTTAAAGAAAAAAAAAACATCAAATTCATCCTAATTTTTCAGTTGAGCTTAAAACTGTTTTTCATTATGCAAACTGTAATTTCTCATTTGATTTTGGAGTGATATAACCAGGACATTACAGTCTTCATGCGATTCACCCACACACACATGCTCTCGCTGCCCTGGTATGAATGAAACATGAGTGTGACAGATATGAATGTTCTTGTTTGTGAGAAATTTTACAACAAAAACTTTTTTTCGGTAATTAAAAAAAATATATAAAAAATATTACATGGGGAAAAAAATAAAAAACGTAAAATTAGAAACTAAACCTTTATAAAAAAATAATGTTTTGTTCGTTGAAAAAAAAATCTAAAATTAAATAAAAATTAAATAGATAAATAGCATAAAAAATGAGAAATTTTAAAATCAGAAACTGAAATAAAACAATTTTACTAAAAACAAATAAAACAAAATTACTAAAAATTAAAAAATTAAGCAAAATAGAAATAGAAAAAACTAATAAAAGTGGCAAAAGCATATAAATTCACTAAAACTAAAATTAAAATAAAACTGACAAAATGAAAATACAAGCTACCTCAGAGTATTAATAAATACTAAAATAGTATTAAAAATAATCTTAAAACTAAAATCTATAGTTGTTAAATAATTATATTATGGGGTCCAAACACCTGAGATCACATTGAAAATAAATTATTCAAAATCCAGTTTAGATCTGAAAATATATAGACATCTTTAAGATTTAAAAAAACAAAACATTAGAAACATTATGATGTTTCTTCTCTTAATCACATAATTATTGACACTGATCACATGACTCTTTGTACAGACACTTACATCGTCTTGCTTCAATTAAAGCACAAAATTCTTGGATCATCTCAAATCATGGAGAACATGATTATCAGGATTTGTTTGTGTCATGTCATTTTTTATTTCTTTAAAGAAAAAAAAAACATCAAATTCATCCTAATTTTTCAGTTGAGCTTAAAACTGTTTTTCATTATGCAAACTGTAATTTCTCATTTGATTTTGGAGTGATATAACCAGGACATTACAGTCTTCATGCGATTCACCCACACACACATGCTCTCGCTGCCCTGGTATGAATGAAACATGAGTGTGACAGATATGAATGTTCTTGTTTGTGAGAAATTTTACAGAAAGTGAGAGAGAACATATAAGAGTAAAGATGTGTTTTGTGTGAGCTCAGCTCTGGGCCAGTCTGAAAGTGTGTTGATGGAAGAGACGTTTTATACTCCTGTACATACACGCACACACACACACGCACACGCACAGAGAGAGAGTGTGTTCAGTAGGCCTTATAATCCCGTTACAGCTCCATACAGCACACTAGGCTCCAAAAGCAAAGCAGCAGTCAGCCTCCAGCAGAGATTTGTCTGTTTAATCGCGCACAAACACGTACACAAAGCACACAAATACACATAAACACAACCGGGGCTCACAGATAACGCTGTTTTGCAGGCAACTCTTGAGCCACGGCGGAAATACAAAACACTTTCCCAAAATATGCCAAAGCCTTTAGACATGCTAATATTCCATTACACGCATAATGTTGTCAGGAAAGGTAAAGCGACACTGCTGGAGGAGAGATGTGTAACATACACCATCATTACAGCAACAAACACACATATATAATAACGCTTACATTATTGCTCAAAGCAAGCTGTCATGGTTAAAGGTTTACAACTAATGCTTTAACAAACGCTTGTAGCAATCTTGAATTTCAAGAACGTGGCTGACGGCAAGGAGTTTGGTGAATCTGGCTTCCTACCTAAACAACATTTTAGAGTATTTTAGTGTAGAGAACCTTCTAAGATAGCATATTTAAAAGTCTAGGGCAGCATCACATTCATTCTTTACATATATTAGGCAATCCCAAAATGCACTGCAATAAGCTTGGTGAAGAAAAAAACCAAAGATGAAGCATATAAATTACACTATTGTTCAAAAGTTTGAAGTCAGTATTTTTTAAAGAAAGGACAACTATTCTATTCTTTTCACTTCATGTATGTTATTTTATTAATAGGTTTGGGAATATCACACAAATCATATAGAGACCTTGTAGTTCACTGGTCGGACACTGTCGGCCAAAAGTTTGGAATAATTACGTTTTTTAACTACACTCTATAGTGTATATACAATATATATATATATACTGTATATACACTACCGCTCAAAAGTTTGGGATCAGTAAGACTTGTAATGTTTTTTAAAGAAGTCTCTTATGCTCATCAAGGCTGTATTTATTTGATCAAAAATACAGAAAAAAACAGTAATATTGCAAAATATTATTACAATATAAAAATATTTCATAACATTATTAAGAATTGATGACAAGTTGGATAACTATAATGAATTATTAATGAAGGTCCTTATAAAGTGTTAGGTACAACATTAATAGGTTCTGATTGTTCCCTAGCACACACTTATGTTCCTGACCGCCCGTCTGGTTCAGAGAGGCACGTGTCCCACAAAACAGCACACACCATGCACCGGGTACCTGCTACCGTGGCAACTCGCTCATTAGATCCCCTTATTAGAGTCAGCTCATTAGTGTTCAGTCTGCACACTCATTAAAACAGCCTCTCTAGCCCAGCACACGCATTCAGCCTTGATTAATTTGCTTATTTCAGCATTCATTCACATCCCGTAGGTGAACAGACACACTTATACACTTACACACAAATACAACTGGCGAGACCCACCGCAGAGGTGCAGTTCTCTCACACACACACACTCACAAACACACGCACACACACACACACGCGCACACACACACACACACACTCACTCACTCACTCACTCACTCACGTAAATCCAGCTAAATCTAGCCAGATCTGAACTTCTCTTACAAGATTACTGCTGATAGCTCTGAGTTATGGTTCTCATTTGCTTTCTAACCCTAAGTGATTCAGTAATTTAATGAGATAAGGAAAGTAAAAAACCTGAAGTGGGAATCTTTGCATATTTTTCATAACATGTTTTCAAAGAGACTTTTTTTTAAAAACAGAAATTATTTTGATAAGTTGAATTTTTGAAAAATTGGCAGCAAGATTAAAAACATGAACAATGTTTAATGGTAAAATGCTTCATTTTTAAGTGGAGGAATAATCGTTAGTTGCAGCCCTAAATCTTTGCATATTTTTCATAACATGTTTTCAAAGAGACTTTTTTTTAAAACCAGAAATTATTTTGATAAGTTGGATTTTTGAAAAATTGGCAGCAAGATTAAAAACATGAACAATGTTTAATGGGCACTTTAAAAAATATAAAAATAGAAAACAGTTATTTGAAAATGTACTATTTCATAATATTACCGTTTTTACTGTATTTTTATTCCAAATAATTTATCAAATAAATGTATATAACAATCAAATAAATGTATAAATATAAAAATATTAATTTGTATTATTGTTTACTTACGTAATGTTTAAAAATATAACATCATTATAAAGTGCTACCTTATTAAAATAGAATTTCATTGCAGTTCATATGATATGGACATGAGTACATATAAAAAAATTAATCTGGTTCTCATTCAATAAGAAACAAAAGTGTCAGAATTCACTCTTTTAATGTATATTTTTATTTTTGAATAATGCAACATTAATAGCCTTTAATAATTAGTCAAACTTTCCAATATAACGTAAAAAAGAAAGAAAAATTTATATTAAAACTGATATATGAAATACTATAAAAGCAATTTTATACTAAATAGTTGTTTAATAGATTAACCACAACTACAGACCTAACTTTTATTTCTTCTTGTCCTCTATTCATATTATATTTTTTTATTACTACTTATCAAAAAATTCCATCAAAATCCTTCATTTGTGTAATTGCAGTCCCGACAAATTGAATCCTCACCCTCGTCTAATGGTGTAGTGCTCATATGTCTGAACTCTTCCTCAAGGCAGGCCAGAGCCAGGCAATCCTCCTCATCCTCATCAGAGTCCTGGAGATCGAGCTGCTCCACACTCTGGACCTCCATGATCTCCTCAGCAGCACGAGACAGTGGCCGACGAGTCCCGGCACTCAGGGGCCGAGAAGAGATGGGAGAACATCTGCTTATGGTGCCTAAAAAAGAATAATAAGAGCTGAATGAGATTATGAGAGCTGCTAAATAACACACCCTCTGACTTGAGGAATCATTCATGTCAGCATGAGTTACACATCAAAGCTGAATAATTATGGTTAGTGGTTTGTACGGATCTCTAACGCCAAGTATGAGCAACAGTAATAGTGATGGTTGCCTACAGTTATACTACTAATAACTGTGACTAAAGAGAAATAGAGAGATGATGGGAAAGGCAAAGAGAGAGATGTTAAAGCAACTGACGGAAAAGCACACACAGAAAGACAGCGCTGGGATTGACGGCTTAAGTTAGCGGGGTCAGTATTATTTACTGTCACACGCTGGCCTAATCAGCTTCTATGCTCTCTGATCCAGCAAATCACAATAACACACTCACACACTTCTCTCTCCTCCATGTGACTTTTTTCATTATATTCCCTAGCCTCTTCTTGTCTTGTGTGATCTTTCTTTTGCTGATAGTGAAGTGAACGCCTCTATGTTCACCGAGCAGCGCTCAGCTAACATTACAGTAGTGGTGAGGAAAGTGATTCACACTTTTGAATCTATTGAATCAGTTCAGTTTAGTGTCTCATTCTGTAGGTTACATCATTACACCAGTGAATAAAATGGGGAGTCGATCGAATCATTTACTCATCAGATTCCTTCAAAAACAGTGTTTAAGTATCATAAGCATATTCTTCATGAATCATATCAGCAGATATACTATTTTGTCAACTTGTGGGATTTATCAAGCAATAAAAAGACATCTATAGGTGAAAAAAATAGATTACTAGTCATTTATTAAGGTGATATAACTCAACTGTTCAAAAGTTTGGGTTGTGTAACATTTTTGAGAGAAGTCTCTTATGCTCACCAAGACTGCATATTTGATTAAAAATACAGTAAAAACTATTATATTGTGAAATATTATTACAATTTAAAATAACTGGTTTCTATATTTAATAATTTTAAAAATATATAATTTATTCCTCTGATGCAAAGCTGAATTTTCAGCATGCTGATTTGATGCTCAAGAAACATGTTTTTATTATTATTATTATCATTGTTGAAAATGGCTTAATATTCTAGTATTTCTTTCAGGATTCTTTGATGAACAGCCTTTATTGGAAATAGAAACATTTTGTAACATTATAAAACTCTTTACTGTCACTTTTGATAAATGTAATGCATCCTTGCACAAAATTATTATTTCATATATTTGAACAGTACTGCAGAAGCTAATCAGAATGATTCATTGACTGAAAAAGATATATTTAAAAACCGAGCAGTGAAATGCCCAGGTGACATAGCAGGAGAGATCATGTATTAGCTGATATCGCTTCCCACGATTTGGGCTCGGGAGGACGACGGCTTTGAGTATCCTCTGATGCAAAAGGCTCAATCTAGCGTGTCGAACCTGACACAAGTATATGAGATATACAGAGAATGAACGGGAGAGAGAGAGAGAGAGAGAGAGAAAGAGAAAAGTAGGCAAGAGAGGATGGACGGATATCTGACGCTTTGATTTGCACCAGCCGAAATCACAGCTGTCATGCTGTTAACCAGATTATTTTTCCCTCCTCTGCAGACCTGCAAGTGATGTGCCGAGAGACAGAGAGGAAGACGTGTCGAGAGGAAGAGAAAGCACAAGCTAGCTAGCTGAGCTGAGCCGAGAGATTGAGGAGCGCGCCGTTGGCCACGTTCCCTGCACAAACACAGTAATCTCTTTATGAAACCTCAGCCGCGTGTGCTGGCGCAGAAAGCTCAGGAATCAGCTCGGCTTTAATTACGCACGTGAGCCAATAAATCACGCCGCGGCCGAGCGTCTCTTCTACAGCCATGTTATTGATGTCCCGTTGGCCTTAACGCCGTGTCCGAAGGGTTGGCCGAGGCTCTCTGTAAATGATCCTTTAGTCACGGCAAAGATGCGACATCAGACCGGCTCAACATTTTAAACAAAGATTTAGCCGTACAAGTCTGGATTAAGTCTGAACACAGAAGGGAAATTAAGAAGAGAGATGAAGGTTTTATTTTACTCAGACTGTTTTCTAAGGGCCCTGATTTGGGAAATACGATTGATAGCTTCAATTAAAGAGAAAGTTCATCTCAAACACTTAAAATTCTGTAGATTAATAGATTAAACTCATAATTCTTGCTCTTAAATCTCATTTTGGATTTCACTTTTTCAAACTTTGGGGTCAATACGTTTTTGTTTTTTAAAGAAATGCATTTATTCAGCAAGGACGAATGCACTGATCAAAAGTGACAGTAAAGACATTTATAATGTTTGCAAAAGATTTATATTTTTCAAATGCTGTTTTTTTTTTTTACTTTCTGTTCATTAAAGAATCCTGAAAAAACACTATTAATCAGCACAACTATTTTGAACATTGATAATAAGAAGAAATGTTTCTTGAGCAGCACATCAGCATATTAGAATGATTTCTGAAGGATCATGTGACACTGAAGACTGGAGTAATGATGCTGAAAATTCAGCTTAATCAATTCACAGAAATAAATTACATTTTAAAATGAAGAGTTCATTTGCAAAAACCGATAACTCCATTTTTATTTATTTTTTTCAGAAATCACGTTTTTTTATTGCGCATTCCAAGTAATATCAATCAAACTGCAGTTGGGTTGTTTTGATTAAGTAATAATAACTTAAACAAATACAGGTAATTTACAAAATTAAAGTTAATTGAAAGTATGTTTTTTTTACTTATTAAAAGTTTGTTTTATAGCAAAAGCAGATAACTCCAACAGTTGTTTTTTGGCAAAAGTCAAACTCCACATTTCATGTTTTAGTTTAAAAAAAACACTCGTTTAATCTTTGCAATCTCATCAGATGACAATGTAGATGCCTGACAAACGTTGTCGTTGTGATCATAAACGGTATGGATGTGATTACACGCAATACACGGAGCTTCACGATTAATCATTTGACAGCACTAATATTAATACATAAAAATATATAAAAATTACTAAAACTTTAATATATACACACACACACGTTTACACAGTTTTTCTTAATTTTTATTATTTATATATATATATTATTATTTTTTGAGTTATTTTAATACACGTTAAACTAAAAATTAAACTCATTTATTTTATTTCAAGCAATGATTTTTTTATGGTTTTAATTTCAGTTTTAGTTTTTTGTTAACTATAATAACCCTGATTACAGTAATAAGAATTTTGTGGGACAATGTGCTTAATTTTCATTAGAAATTGTGACACAGTGCAAATTATCTTAATGTTAATGCAAATAGGATTTGCTTTCTTTAAGCAAAATATAATTTCTTATTTATTTCTTTTGATTTTGGTGTAAAATGTGACCCAGGCATGTTCTTGACAGGTTTTAGATACTCACTATTATCATAAGTCACTTGCAGTACACTCTTTACAGGGACTGATCTAACCTGGGGTTAAGTAACTTTCTCAAGGACACAATAGCATTTCATGGCTCACTCATTTTGGGCTTCAAACCAGCAACCGGTAACAAACTCCAAACTTTAGCTGGAAAACCACATGCGCCTGCGACAGCCTGACTTGACATGCAGACAGTGAGCGGTTGAAGGTTAAACATGTGTGCCTTCCATCGCCATCTTAAACGCCTGCTGTAATTAAGGCTTTTTCCAATCGACTGGCCGCTGCTCCTGTCAGTGCATGTCAGGGATTGCAAATGCACAGACAGGCCGATAAAAACGGCTCGACTGTGACAGAGACAAAAAAAGATGGGAAAAGGAAAAGACTGCAGGAAAATGATGGAGAGACTCACCAGCCAATAAAAACAGAGATGACAGAGACGGAACTGAAACCGGGACTTATTTGTCCTCTGTTTTCATTAACCTTGAAGCTCAACGAACCAAACAGATGCTTCATTTTTTACGGTATATTAGATTAAAAGTGCCTTTTGCATATTTAGTTTCTGCATATTCAAATAACGGCTTTAAATAGAGCTGTTTAAAAAGAAATATTAGTGTTTACAGTCAAGCTAATGGTCTCGCCAAGGTAGCACATTAACACTGTGGAGCTAAAGGATAATGCCAGGAAATGAATGAATGTATAAGAGAGACATCCTTTACACTCATCTTTAAGCTAGCAGCTCTCTTCAATGGCCAATCCATCTAAGTATGCAATAATTAGGTATCTAAATAATACGGGCGGCACAAAATGCACTATTAAGAGAGATGTCTGTGGTTTTCATTAAAGCGCGGTCATATATTAGTGTTGGAACCACATAAGCGCTGCATTCCAAATGTCTTATCTCTATTATTAAAGTATAAAGGATGTTTTTGTGTTGGGAAAGATGTAAATAGCGCACAGCGAATGTGTTAACTAACACCTAATATTGCATTTGCGGTAAGTAAGGTTTTAGAGGCATGACTTGTGAGGAGCGTGTACACTACTGTTCAAAAGTTGTTGTTTTTTTAAATAAATTTTTTTATTCAGCAGGGATGCATTAAAATGATCAGACATTTATAAATGTTACAAAAGATTTTTATTTCAAATAAATGCTGTTTTCTGTTCATCAAAGAACAAAACTATCTCACAAAAATATTAAGCATTAAGCAGCGCAACTGTTTTCAATATCAATGATAACAATAAATGTTTCTTGAGCAGCAAATCAGCATAGTATAAATGATTTTTGAAAGATCATGTGACATTGAAGACTGGAGTAATGCTGCTGGAAATTCAGCTTTGCATCAAGGAATAAATTACATCTTAAAATATATTCAAATAGACCATAGTTATTTTAAATTGTAAAAATATTTCACAATATTGCTGTTTTTTTTATACAATAAATGCCACCTTGGTGAGCATAAGAGACTCCTTTTATAAACATTGAAAAACCTTACCAACCACAAACCTTTGAACAGTAGTGCATATGTTTTTAAAATGGCATCTGATCCATTATGAGGGTTCAGACTTCGTTGATTTCGAGAGTTTCCACAGCAAAATTCATAGTGAAATTGTTAACCTCTGGTCTGTGTCAGATCATGTGGATCTTAACTCAACAGAGCTCTGTCATTTCTAGTACAATTCATATTAAGCATACTTGTGCTTGCTTGTGTAAAAAGGAGATAATCTGCTGTGAGGTCAGTTCTTACAGTATAATGTGCTGTTTTACTGTAACACTTGAATATTATGAACATTACTGTGGTGTAGACAATGTTTCATGTCTCTATGAATGTCATCAAGGCATCTTGACCCAACAGTCTCAGGTGTACTACGCACGAAAATGTCAGGAGCTTCCTCAAAATGGCAGGCTCCAAGCTGATTGACTGATTTTAAAGAATTTTTACTTGTTTTATCTTGCTGTATATTGCCCTCTAATCCTCAGCAATATATGGCTTTGTTTTGCCAGAACTTTATTTTGCTTCTCTACATACCTAGTGAACTCCCTGTGTGGTTCTGCTCTTCTCTAGAGCTTTGCGCTGGAGCTGGGCTGGGCTGCAGGACTCCGGGGTCCAGTCCCAAAGTCAGGATCCCCTCTAGGTCTTGGTACTGCCCCGGCTGGATGTCCTGTCGCTGGGCTACAGAATGAATGGCCTGTGCAAGAGAAGAAAAATTGTTAGAAACAACATCAGTCAATGACATGGCACAAATGTCATTAAAAAAAAAATGCACGAATTACATAAAAATGCAATTTATACAGACAATGACTTGAATACTTGTCTTAAATGTTGAATACGTTTCAATTTCTGCATTAAGATTCATTTAACATTGCTGTCAGGCTTAAAGCTAAAAAATGTCTGGATGGTAATTGTCGTGAGATCATGATAAATAATAAATAATAAATAACTAAGAAAAAATTTAATCAAAAGGTTAAAATTGTAATGATCTGCTATCATTCACATTTATCTTGGTGCCATATACGCTAACCTTCAAAAGTTTAAGGTCAGAAAGACGTTTTAATGTTTTTGGAAGAAGTCTTTTATTTTCACCAAGACTGCAGTTTTAGTACTTGCAGTAGACTGAAGTTTGAGTAGTTTTTCTTTCTTTTTTACATTATATTGGTAAGTTTTACTAATTATTAAGGGCTATTAATATTGCATTATGCAAAATATATCTTAAAAGAGCTAATTCTGAAACTGCTGTTTGTTACTGAATAAGAACCAAATTAATTATTTTATATATATCTACTCATATCATATATCCATGTCATATGGTGTCATGCAATGGAATTCTATTTTATTACAGTAACACTTTCACCAAGCAACAC